CGACCCCTCCTAGCAGCGCCCCGCCTCCAGCCCCACCCATCTCAGCGCCCCGCCCCCTTCTCAGCGCCCCGCCTCCAGCCCCGCCCCTTAGCAGCGTCGCGCCCCGCGAAGGTGCAAGGCTTTGGATTCCCGGGAGACCCACACCGGTCGTGGAAAAGGCCAGGCTAGGAGTGGTTTCTTTTCTATTTAGAAAGCCGGTCTTTTTCGGCCACCATTGGGGCTCTTGGGTTTACGGTTTCAAAGCATCTCAGAGAGCACCGCAGACATTTGAGCTCGTGTTTTCCCATGTCCGTCTCAGTGACCAGAACCATGCCTGGTAAACAGTAATGACAACGGAACCTAACATTTCTTGGGTTCTTACCATATACCGCAGACATTTGAGCTCGTGTTTTCCCATGTCCGTCTCAGTGACCGGAACCATGCCTGGTAAACAGTAATGACAACGGAACCTAACATTTCTTGGGTTCTTACCATATGCCAGGCAGCGCACTCACCTCTTTACATAAATTATTTCAGTTTGACAAAATTATGCGGGAGATGCTCTGTTAGTCCCATTTCGCAGTTGAGGAAACAAAGGTTAAGTACTAAACCTGTGATGAATCAGAGCGTCCGCTGGTCTGAAACACATCTAAACGAGGCCCTGCATTTGAAAGTGTTTTGAAGATCAAAAAGCATTACATCAAAGCTCCTAGCACTGAGCGTGGTCCATAATAGTTGCTTAATTCACATTTGTTGAAGGAATATCTTAGCCCTGGTCCTTTTGGGTCTGCGGGGTGAGGCTCCCCTCTAAAGCCCAGGAGTGTAAGGTCTCCCTGTTCCAACCTTCCATACCATTCTGTAGGGCCTACTTGTGTTTCACCATTGTGAGATATTCAAGACATGAAGCATAGTTCTGTAATAGTATAGCACACACTCATGTTCTCAATGTAGAGGTACGCACTCTGCTTAAAATCTTTTACTAAAAAGAAATAAAATAAAAGAGAATTGAAGTCTCTTTTTCCAAAGTACAAAAAGAGACACTAGTCAGAGCTTAGCTTGTATCCTTCCAGTCCACAGTTTCCTGTTTTACTATAGTTGTTATGCATCCATACAGTGTTTCTAATATTTATATATGTTATTTTTAAACAATTATTCTACAACTTCTTTTTTTTTTTTATTAAGTATTATGTGTTTGAGATCTATCCTGATGGGTATGCATGGCTGTAATTCATTCACTTTAACAGCTTAGTAGTATTCCATCACTACACCACAATTTATTCACTCATTCCTATTGCAATGGATATTTAGGTTTATCTCCCTTCTTCCCTTTCTAATTTTTTTGCATTAAAAACAATGCTGCAGGGGAGTGACTTCCATAATGGTAACATGATGAGTTCCACAGACCTTCTTTCTTCCTAGTGAAACAGCTATAATTGGTAAAAATTATTTATAAAACCCCAACCATTTAAAGTCTCTGAAAATTGTTCTAAAGGCATATAGCAAATTAAGAGACTTTATTCAAGAAAAATATACTAAACCTTGACAAAAACAGCAAGAGTCTGTGGCATTTAAGCCATACCCCATTCCCTCCACCAGTCCCAGGCCCAGTGTGACAGAAGCTCCATTCTAGGCACATTGTAGCCAAGAGCACTTCCCCTACCTATCAGTTGAAGCCTACAGTATCTCCCTGAGAGGCAAAGGCTGCTAGCATTTCTCATACCCTCCCCCCAAAACGCCATGCTGCAGAAGTTCTGTTCTAGGCAAGACTGGCTGAGAGGTCCATGGATAGCCTTCCCCTTAAGCTCCTACTTTTAGGGCAGAAACATTACCCCAGGCTAGCAGACTAAGAAAACTGGGCCCCTTCGCCCTCACCCCAGTTTGCTCATAGGACAGAGGTTCCATGCTGGGAGAGGTTAGCCACAAAGACCAGAGACTAATGCCCCAAATAATGGAGATTCTCGTGGCAAACAATTAAGAGGAAGCTAGTAGCTCCATCAAAGAAGCTAAACCATAGGTCAGCTAGATGTTAACCAGGGTCAATCAGAGAAAGAGACAGCTCAGAGCCTCCCTGGGGCCACAACAAATCTCAAAGATTGGCCTCAAAGACTATTCCTGAGAAGGGGCCCACATTTAATTGGATCATATTGTGAAGCAATTTATGCCCCATGGCATTGTTGAAAACAATAAAGCAATCAGCTGGAAGTTAGTGGAGACTAACAATTCAGTGTAATACCAACAAGGCGGAACAGCTTCATAGGGAACAGGGAAAAAGACAGTCAAAGACCTGCTAAAAACAATGTCATCCTAATGTGACTGAGTGCTCGCTGACATCTATGCCATCAGAGGAATGACATCAGAGGCTCTATGCTGTGGGGGAAATAGGCTTCACTGGATCAGTCAGTCCAGCCAATTCACTAAACAAATGAAAATGCAAACAAGAATATCCTGGTGAGAGATTGTAGATCAGAATTACTACATTATCTAAAACATACAGTTTTCAACAAAAAATTATGAGACATGCAAAGAAACGTGAAAGTGTGACCCAAAGAGAGGAAAGAAAGCAGGCAACTGAAACTGCCTGGAAGAGAGCCCAGATGTCAGATTTAGCAGACAAAGACTGTAAAGCAACTGAAGAAAACCATGGTGAAGAAGGTCAAGGAAGGTATGGTGAGAATGTCTCATCAAATAGAGAATATTAATAAAGAGTTAGAAATTATAAAAATAACCAGATGAAATTCTAGAATTGAAAAGTACAATAACTGGAAATTTAAAAAAAAAAAATCTGCCTGCAGATTCAATGCAATCCATAAGAAAATCCCATGGCACTTTTTTTTGCAAAAATAGAAAAAATAATCCTAAATGAAGGGGGAAAGCTTCATAACATTGGTCTTGGCAATGCTTTCTTGGATATGAAACCAAAAGTACAGGCAACAAAAGCAAAAAAAGACAAGTGGGTCTCAATAAACTAAAAATCTTCTTCACAGCAAAGGAAGCAATGGGTAGAATGAAAAGGCAACCTATGGAATGTGAGAGAATATTTGCAAACCATATATCTGATAGGGGGTTAGTACACAAAATATATAAGAAATTCCTACAACTCAACAGCAAATCATCATCATCATCATCAACATCATCATCTGATTAAAAAAGGGGAAAATGACTTGAATAGATATTTCCCAAAAGAAGATATATAAATGGTCAAAGGTGTAAGAAAAAATGCTCAACATCACTAATCACCAAGAAAATTTAAATCATAACCATAATGAGATATTACCTCATACATGTTAGGATGGTTATTATAAAAAAAGTCAAAAGTTAAGTGTTGGCTCGTATGTGAAAAAAGGGAACCCTTATACACTGTTATACACCCTTATATACTGTGGGAATGTAAATTGGTACACCCATTAGGGAAAACAGCTTGCAGGCTCCTCAAAAAATTAAAAATAGAACTACCATATGATCCAGCAATCCCACTTTGGGGATATCTATATCCAAAGGAAATAAAATCACTGTCTCAGGGCCGGCCCGGTGGCGCACTGGAGAGTGCGCCACTTGGGAGTGCAGCGCGCTCCCGCTGAGGGTTCGGATCCCATGTGGAGACCGGTTCCCGCTCACTGGCTGAGCGTGGTGCGGGCGCAACACCGAGGGTTGCGATCCCGTTACCGGTCAGTAAAAAAGACAAAAAGGAAAAAAAAATCACTGTCTCAAAAAGATATCTGCACTACTGTGTTCACTGCCCCATTATTTACAATAGCTGACATATGGAAACAGTCTAAGTGCCCATTGACGGATGAATGCATACAGAAAATGTGATATGAGGGTACTTCAAAAAATTCATGGAAAAATAGAATTAAAAGATAATATAAATCTTTCCATGAACTTTTTGAAGTACCCTTGTATATATACAATGGAACATTATTCCATGAACTTTTTGAAGTACCCTTCATGGAAAAATAGAATTAAAAGATAATATAAATCTTTCCATGAACTTTTTGAAGTACCCTTGTATATATACAATGGAACATTATTTAGCCTTAAAAAAAATAATTCTCACATACAAATAATTTAAAAAAGAAAAAGAAAAGAAAAAGGAAGGAAATCCTGCCATTTGTGACAATGTGGATGAACTTGAAGGACATTATGCTAAGCAAAATAAGCCAGACACAGAGAGGCAATATTAGTCAAACTCATAGAAACAGAGCATAGAAGGGTGGTTGACCAGGGGTTGTGGGTGGGGGAAATTGGGAGATGTTGATCAAAGAGTAAAAACTCACAGTTGTAAGATGAATAAGTTTGGAGAAATAGAGTATACCATTGTGACTATAGTTAATAACAAGGTATTGTACACTTGCTAAGAGAGTAGATCTCACCACGCACATGCACATAGGCACACGCACACACACACACACACGTAACTATGTGAGGTGATGGATATGTTAATAAATTTCATGGTAGTAATCATTTAACAATGTATTAATATATCGAAACATCACATT